CCTTATGTCCACAATTAAACACTCATCAATAGGAGGCTCTTTCTATATTATACACTACTACTCCCTTGGTCTTATAAATAGTATTACCATCATCGACTTTATATATGAAGATAAAGAAAATTAAATTTTTATGATTAAAAGTGGTAGAGAAGAGAGATATATAATAAATAATACAAAATTGTTTCCGAAAATGGAATGGATAAACAATCCACCTTCGACTTCGACTGAATACACATATTAAGAAAAATTTAAAATTTTATTGTTGAAAGTGATGAAAAATAGGAGAGATTATAAAGTCTAGTATCTATATACTGTTATTGATGCGATAAAAAAATCTCATTTCGACTTAAACATTCTTGACAACATTTGGAAGAACCATTACATGTCTCATTTTTTCGTCTTTACTCTTTTCTGACCATATATTTTAAATTTATATTAAACATGCACAATTTTTCTTCTTGTATGAAGATCCATAATTCTTTCTGAATATTTGTTTAGTTTTAATTTTTTAAAATAAAAATTGACAATGTTTTACCATTAATCACAATATGATCCGAAAAAAAGAGATGAACACAAATGATAGATCTCAAATTTTCAATAAAATGGGCCGGTATAGAAAGCATGTTCAATTTCATCACAAAAATTAAAAATGAAAAAAAGATGAAGAAGGATGGAATTGCAGAGAATTCCTCCGTACAATGATTCAATCAATCAATATTCAATACGGTGTGATGTGAGTGGTCTTAGTCTGGTAACTGGACAAACACGACTTTGAATTTCTCGCCCCTAAAATTTTGACCAAATCTCCACACATCTTCCTAACACCACCCGAGCAATCGCTCTGCATCACCAGCAACACCTTGGTCAGCCCGTTGACCTTCGCCACCGCCGCCTGCGCTTGGCTGTCACGCGCCAGGCTGCACACGCTCCACAGCACCGTCACCCCGTCCTCCGTCGCCGCACTCGAGCACTTCATCAGCCTCTTCACTGTCCCCGCCAGGCAATCCTCATCGGCGCCGATTGCGGCCCTTCCCTCCGCACATGTCGCGACCGTTTCCAACAGTTTCAGTGCCTTCTCCGTCACTGCGTCCGACGGTTCAGATCCGGAGAGGATTTTCCCGATCGTTTGAACGATGCCGCATCTTACGAGCTCCTTTCTGGCCGATCTGGAAGAAGGAATTACTAGCAGCGCTGAAATTCCGGCATCCACCGCTAATCGATCGGTTTCTGAGCCGACGAGGCGGCAGAGCTCGTTTAGTAAGCCTTGTTCTTCGGAGATCTTAAGCTGCGAATCGCTGTTCAAAGCAATTGCCGCCAAAACTCTGGCGGACTGAATCTTCGAGCTCAATTTCCCTTCCCGGAAAAGCCGAACAAATCTCGATAGACAGTCGCTGCCGCTCTTCAAAATTAACCGATTCAAGTGCTCGTCAATCCCGTTCTCTGACAAAATCGCGTCCAGAATTTCAACAATCGATTCGCAAACTTCGACCTCAACCGAATCCTTCAAATGTCCAGCGATGCCGGAAACTGCATCTCTCGTGTTAGCAAAATATCTCCGATTATCATCGGAATAATTCACAAAACGAACGATTTTCTCCATCGAGGCCGAGCTGAGACCACCTTCGGCATTATTGGAGATGATGTCGAGAAGTTCCTGTTTTGAAACGGCGGAAGGCGAGGGGATGGCGGCCTGGTGGTGGAGCCAGAGGTGGATGAGGCGGCGGAGGGTGAGATTGGGGACGAAATCAGTGGAAGGGAGAACCTGCATGGTGGCAGGACAAGTATTGTGGCCGTATGAAAGCCACGTCTGAATAGAACTGCGGTCGTACGTGACGCCGGTGCATAGACTCACCGGAGACTTCATGACGTTCATTGAGATCGGACACCGGAATAAGCTGGGAACGGTCACGTGTAGTTCCCGATTCCTGAATTTCTCTCTTGCCATTTTGATGTTTTAAGCCGGTTAGAACAAAAACCATTTATAGATAAGAATAAGAAATTTGGATTAAGATACTTATTTACATAAAAGGATTGGCCGTCCAAAAATTATTTTTCTATTTACTATTCATCGTGTCAAATTTTATTTGATTTATTGACTTATTTTCTTTGTCGATTTTGATAAAATAATCTAATTATGTCACTCTTAGTTTTGTAAATCTTTTGATGTAGTCTTTAATTATGTAATTTTTTAATTTTGTTCTATTTTTCATATAAAATAATTTAAAAATAATTTCAGTCAAACATCGTAAATCGATGCATAATATGAACTTCTTTTATTAGAATCATAAAAACTAATGTGAACCATTTTTTTTATTTTTTTAAAAATTACATAATAAAAAACTTTTTAATTAAATAAATTAAGATATCTATTAAATATGGAACATCAAAGTGTAATACGGAACTTAGAAACTAGAGTTTTAGTATTTATGTTTTTTTAGCTCCAGTAGGGTTATTAGGTCCAATCGGTCTGACTTAATTCATTTCGGGTTTGGACTAGACTAGACCAAAACTCGAACACTTAAATTTTCGAGACCAAAGACCGACCCAAAATGCTTTCGGTCCAGGTTTGCTAACGGTCTAATCTGGTCAATTTTTTTGGTCTGGTCCTAAATGTGAACAAGCCTAACTTATATTACCTCCTTTCTTAAATATTGTTCCACTTTTAACTTTTTCAATCAAAATTGGCAAATTTTGAATACAAATTAAATAAAAATAATATTAGATATTGATATAAAAATAATTTTATTAAATTTTTTTTATAAATATTTTTAAAATATTATTGTATCTAACTAAAATACCAAATATATTTTATTTAATTATAGGTCAATAATTGAAAATGATTGATTGCACGAAAATTAAAATTGGACAAATACTCAAGTAAGGAGATAGTATATTTTTATCGATTATTTGATTAAATAGATCATATTCTTATCTCATCATATTTTATAGAATCTTTATGTGGTTTTTACATATGTAAATTTTTACTTTTTATTTCAACATAAATTTGTAAATAAAATAAATTTAAAAATATGTAATATTACTTGTTTTTGGGAAGGTATTCATTTAGGGACACGATTATATTGCGGAGTAATTAATATTTAGTATAAATTTAATATTTTGTGTAATTGATGATTAAAGTATGACTGGTTTAATTTAAAAGAATTCAGATTAAACAAATACCTTTGGATGGAGAGTAGCAATTGATAGATGTCAAGGTCCAATAAAAAATAAGAATTAGAAAATAAATCTCACGATAAGATGTGTATTGGTTAATTTCATATTCCTCAATCTAGGGGGATGGGGGGCCCATACATACTTAACGGAGGTAAATTAGGTATCTGAAATCAAGAAGGAATCAGATATCAATTCTCAATCTTGCGTTTCACTTCTAATATTTCATATTACAACACACTCTCCTCACATTGTCACACATAGAAGATTATCACACGCATGAGTTTTTTCAAATAATCTGCCCGTTTTTGCTTGCTTATGTGTCTTATGTACCCGTCTCAAAATGCTTCTCAAAAGTGATCATACTTCTTGGTCTTAGAAAATGATCTTGTTATTTTGTTTTGTGTGCATTCCAATATTAATTTGGTTTCACGTGTGACTGATTTGTGGAATTTGACTAAAAAAAACTGCATAATGTGTTAATTGGCCTGGAGAAGACGCACAATAAGGTGACGAGGTAGATATTGCAAAGGTCTCTACACTCTCTAGAGTTCAAATGAGTTCTGATTGTGTAGATTTGTGAAGCTAGAGATACATACATCACGGAAAATATCGAGGTTAATATTGTCGGGGTGACTCTGGCCCCATTATAGTAGGGGTGGGGTTATGCTAGCGGTATTCACTTAGTCCTTGTTGTTTTGCATTGATGATGGATGTTGTATCATCAGACGTCTTGAGGGAGGTACCCTGATGCATGTTATCTGTGGACGATATTGTATTGAACGATGAGTCATGTGAGGGCTTGATGACAGATTATACGCAACAAAGTTCTAGGGGATTTAAAAAGTTTAGTTTTGTCAAGTCCATGTGTCGGGAATGAAGATGATGCGGTGGTTGTGTGGCGTACAAAGTTTTTTTGAAAGAACACTCCATTTCATTAATTTACAATATCAAGTTGTAAAGCATTGCAAATGGAAACTGAAGAGACAGAAATATTCATAAACATAACACATTATACGCACCTGTAACAACATATATTGATAGATATTTAATAGATGTTATCAGTATATTGATAGATATTATCAGTGTGAAATCCCAAGTTTCAAATGAAACTAAGTCGTTCTAGTTACATATTTTGTGGCTCTTTAGAGTAAACAAACCCATTTCATAGGGTTGTTTACTCTAAAATGACGAAATTTCTTTGGTTTGAATTTGATGAAGAAGACACTTATCGAGCCTCCATTTATAGAATTTATAGAGTGGTAGAGTAATATCGCCATGCAGTACTCACTCTAGATAACTAGACATAAAATCAGATGATCTAGGCTACAAATGAGCAACCTGATTCACTGATCATCTAACAACAAACCATGAGTGAGAAATAAACCATGTCATAAAAAAACTTACAATCTAAAATATTTCTTGAAAAATATAACAATATTTCTTGAAAAATGATGTTATTTGAGGATAGACGAGGGTGACGCTTATGAAGGAGATACGATACGAAGCTAGACAAAAGTGATTTGGGTACGTAAGGAGGGGTGTTGGAACCTAGTGTGAAGATACAAGACGCTCATTAATAGGAATCGGCACGATTCAGTTCTTAAACTAGTAATTTTGATCATCGAAAAGGGTAGAAACGTAAGTAAAACTCTCTCCTCACCGAACTTTGGGTAGTGAGTATAGATGAATACTGCTATAGTCTGTGTCACATAAAAAAATTCTTATTTTGTTTTTTATAGAGTTTAAAAACAAACTTAAAAGCTAAATAATATTCTTAGAATCTAGAATGGATATACATACAATTTAACATGGAGTTAAGAGAAAAGAGATTTTTTCGAGTGACATTAATAATTTTTTTTTGAAAACAAAATTATCACTTTTTAGAATGGATGAAAAAGAAAAAAAAAGATGAAATTTTTAAGGGACTCACCCGAAACCTATCACTTTCACCTTTGGGAACTTGGAAGCAAATCAAGCAACTGCAGTATCCCAAATCCCAATCATCAAATCGAGGGTTTCGACATTCGAAATTCTTTTTCCCTCTTTTTTACCTTCTATTTTTTGTTTCCTCAAACGCTATTGACTGGATTCAATTAGATTAGATTCAACAATAAATATGAAATGTCCGACGGATGAAGGCCGCAGCGGCGGCGAATTGGGCGCCAGCGGGTGTTCGACGTCGTTCGAGGCGGCGGGAGGTCGACAGAGGTTCACGGTTGAGTTGAGACCCGGGGAGACAACAATCGTATCGTGGAAGAAGCTTCTAAAGGAGACAACTTTCCGTCAGCCCAAAAACAATGGGCCTGCCAGCCATGTCCCGAGCTCATCCGAACCTGCAGCTGAGCTCCAACCACCTCTTCCCCAGCCCCATAATCAGTCCTCCGATAATCTCTTCCCACAGGTAATTTGTTCGGTTAATTATGCACAGGAAGCACCTTTTTAATTGCTAGAATTTCGTCATGGTTCAGCTGTAATATGATGAGTATCAGTTTGGTCTCTCACACACACACAATGTTCTTTTTTTCGATTCAATTTCCCGTACTTCTTTTAATCGTCATTTCTTGGTGGTTGATGCAGAAACAACCTGATGCAAAGGAAGCTAAGGACCCTCCCCCTGGAAACCGTTTAAATGCTGTAATAGAGAAGATAGAGCGCTTATACGTGGTATAATTTTTTATTACTTGGAGCTTATCTTAGGTTGACATTAAGTGCTTGTTAATCATGACCAATATGTATTTTAAGGTTGTCCATAGCTCAAATACAATATCTTTCGTGTGGGTAATCTGTGCTTGTTAAATTTTTCAACCAAATTGATGTTAATCTAATATGATAACAATGATTCATAATTTTTAAGGGCAAGCAAAGTGATGATGAAGAAGATCTTGATGATGTTCCCGATGAAGATGAGTATGACACGGATGACTCTTTCATAGATGACACTGAGCTGGTATGTCACGTTGCCCATTTTTTCCCTTCTTCGCTACAGCATTAGTAGTCTAGATGCCCATTTAAGGTTGTTTAGTTTGACAGGAGTGTAACACAGAACAAGGAATCACATGATCTTGATGTAGGTCATATTGAGTCTACTTGCCAACTGTGAGTGATTATGGTCTGAATATTGTGTTTCTAGGTTTATATCTGGCTATGGGTTGGGGTTAATAGCAACTGGGATGGAACACCAGAAGATTTATTTAGGGAAGAAATCTGGGCTTTGAACTTTGAAGTAATTTCAAAAGATTATCAGAAGACAAAGGAGACATATATCAAATGACTCAAGTGCACAAATAACTTAGGAAATACAAATTTGCTTCATCATTGTTTGTCATTTTTTAAAACTGAACCCTTTGGGTTTTGTGCTCATTTTGTTGATGGGGTTTTTAGAACAATGATTTTTATTTCTTGGCTTGCAGGATGATTATTTTCAGGTTGATGACTCAGCTATAAAACATGATGGGTTCTTTGTCAATCGTGGGAAATTAGAACGGATGTATGTGCTCTTAATTTTATTAATACCAGAGTACTATTTTTCATGGATATCATTCTCTCTCTCTCTTTCAAATCAATTTCAACCATATACTTTTCATTTTTCACTTTTCAACACTCTTCCTAAACTCTGTGTTGTGTAAAATTGGAATTTTAATATGGGATGAAGTAATTTAATTTGTAGCAAATCCACTAAAATACTGGTTTTAAATCACATAATTACTTCTGTTCAGCATTAAGATGGTACTCATCACAGAAAAAAGATTATGATTCCATGTTACATAATCTCTTAAAGTATGTGTTAGAACATTCATCAACATTCCACTTATATATACAATCAAATAGATTTATGGCGCTTTGATATTTTTCACATGAGAGTGCATTTGTACCCATGTTTTCTGTATGCGAGGAACTCAAATATGTTCATAGAACAGTTTCACATAAATGCAAAATATTGAACTTCCATTGCTTCTTACATTCTATGGAGTTTTGGGATGTAGATGCAGCAATGCATCATGGGTCCAACAGAAATGGACTCTATTTACCAGGGTAATATTGCATACGTCTTGTCCCACAGACCCAAGGAAGTTGGGATTATTCTAGGTTCATTGTTGTTGATGATTATGCACATTGCCCATTACTTCACTTATCCCAAATTTTTAAAATTCTTAGTTACTACTCATAGTTAGTTCAAGTCTTTCAGAATCAAAAAGTTAAGAAATCCTTTCAAAGAGTATTCTAACTAGTGATTTCATCACATATTGACCTCGTGCTTGAGAGCTAAATGTTTCCTACTTTAACCTAGCTGTTTGTGTATATATGTGTGCCTGATCCTGATATGCTTTTGATTATTTATTTCCTGTTAGTGAACCTACAGTACAACAAAATCAACAGCCAAATAAGCGTAGAAAGAAAGATCAAACCAAAGGTCTGTCTTTGAGTGATGATGGAGTTAATACAAACAAGCATGCTAAAGTAGGAAAGAAGGCTAGGAAACTCTTACCAAATGCTGCTGGAGCATCTAATCACTCTCATGGTGTGGTCTTGCCAACTCTGTGTGTCGAGAAGACTAATGTAAAAAGTCAAGTGTGTACTACGTATTTGTTTTGTGAAACAATAAATACATTACCTACTTTGTTTGCCCCAATTGATGAAACTTTCTTACAGGATGCAAATCTAGATCTGCAGAATTCAGAAGGACACCTTTCAAGAAAAGTTGTTGACAAATTGAAAGAAGGTTTTGAAACGTCTAACAAGAGGTTAAATGATAAAATTTCATTCCCACATGAAAAAGCTTCGGGAAAATATGCCATTATTTCCAACGGGTTAGATCAGTCTCTCTACAGGGGAGAAAAAAGTGGAATTGATGAAAGGCTAACCATGATAAGTGTTCCTGATGGGAAGAAGTCTACACAAAGTGCGGTAAGTAGCTTTTTCTTTTTATTCTATCACTTATGCATGGTCAATACATACATATTGACATGCGTGTACGTATGTATTACATGTGTTAATAATGTGTGTAGAGACACAAATAAACACATCTTTACATGCTTGGACCCATGTATGGATTTGTTTGAATGTTGCAAATGTCTTGATCACCATTAATGTTATGTGTTATGAATCACTGACCAAGGCTATGTTTTGCAAAGGAAGGAAATATAGAGAAAAGAATTTGAGAGAAAAAAAAGTGGAGTGGAAGACTGGAAGTTCAACTTCCACTAGTTTGTTTGGTTGGAAGGAAGTAAAAGGGAGAGAATTGAAGAGAAATTAGATTCCCTTGTTTGATTGGAAGTATATTAGAGAAGAAAAAAGTACTTATTGAGATAAAATTATAATTACACTATTTAGAAAATAATGTGTATAGAAATGATACATGGAGTAATTATTAGTAAGTACTCACCCCGTCCAAAATGGCTTTACCTCTTTACTATTACGACCCCTTGATAACCTTTGTTTGCATGTTTTTATTGATCATTTGATAAATTAAATATTCTTGTTACATCTTGTTTTGTAGAACTTTTGATTTAGTTTTTAAATATATAATCTTAATTTTTTATTTCTATACGAATTTGTAAATAAAATCATTTTAAAAGTCATAGGATCTTGCACAATCATCAAAGAAGGCAATTCATTTAGGAACGCAAGGAGTATAATCTTTTTGACATTACAAATTTATTACAATTGAAATATTAAATAAACTAAATATCATTGGAACGAGATGCAAAAACTAGGAGTTGAAAAATGTTGGAAGTTAAAAGTTAGATCTAATAGAACAGAGCAATATTACTCATTACTCCGTATTATATAAGGGTTATATAACATGCCTATTTGGATAAAATTTTACTTTTAGTTTCTTCCTCTTTTGGTACCCAATTAGATATGATTTTGCGCTTTATTATTTCTACCCAAGTGTTTTTGGTAAAATAATAATAATAATATTATTATTTGGAATTTTTTATTTTAGTATATTTTGTACTTTAGTTAGAAGTTTCCATTTAGATACCTTGGTAAAGGGAAAGAAAATATGAAATGCAAAGAACAAAAACAATTTTCTTCCCATTTCACTTCAAAAGTGGGGGGATTTTTTATAACTTAGTTTCAATTTCTTTCCCAATTCCTTCCCATTTTCTTCTCAATTGCTCTCCAACCAAACAATGAAATTTTTTGTATTTCCTTCCCATTTTCTTCCTCCCCCCTCACTTCCCGCTTCTCCTCAAACAAGCATAGCCTAACATATTGTGCATTTGTGCATGAGTTTAGTGGGTTGATCATCCATCATCTAATGCCCTCACATTTTGTTGTTTGTGTTTTAAATTTTTGCTACCTTATATTCCTTTAAGAAGTCCATGTTTGTAGGTTTAAAGGTGAGATATGTTGTTTTTCTATGCAGAAAAAGGATGGTGGATCTAATGTGAGATCAAAGATTTCAGCGCTTGAGAAGGCCATTAGAGACTTGGAGAAGATTGTCACAGAGTGTATATTTTGTTGCTCATTATTCTCGTGACTTCATTTTTTTCACCTTCGTACGCATTGATCATATTTATACAGAGTATAACTTTACAATGCACTAAATGCAGTAAGGCCACCTATGGTTGAAGTTCAAGATGGTGATAATGCGTCTCAATCTATCAAAAGGAGACTACCGTTAGAAATAAAGCAAAAACTGGCAAAAGTCGCTAGATATGCGGTAGTAAATGTGCCACCATAAATATGTTCATAACATTTTCGGATCTGTTTCTAAACACTTGTTACTTCAGCCTTCCTTTTAGATTTTCCTGATAAATTTCTGATGTCTTTTTGGGTGGCCGCAGCAGGCAAGCCATGGAAAAGTATCTAAAGAGTTATTAAATCGTCTAATGAGCATTGTTGGCCACTTGATACAGCTCCGGACATTAAAGGTACTGAATTCTCCTATTCAAGGATCATAAATACTGCTCCTTAAGTCCTTATCATAGCTAATAGCTATTCTTTCCTGAACCCAACAGCACAGTCTGTTTTTTTTATTTAATCTGATGAAGGAGTAACAACCACAAGCGCACAAAAGTGCAGATGAAAGTCGTTATTTCATAAGAACAGACAAAGTAGCTAAAGATACTAAGTAAAATTTCTGTGCTTCTCATTTTCAATCCTAATAACCTCATTAGATAATCATACAAACATATTGTCACATATTTTCAATTCTAAATTGTTAATACAGTTGTTGTTCGGTTAATCTCATATTGCATAGCAGACATAATACATTATACAATAGTAACATACTCTACCTAAGGTTATATA